AGGGCTAGGAATGGGGAAAAAATAAGAACCAAGATGCATTATGTAAAGGTACAATTCCCAATGAGAAATGTAATTGTGTTGCATACCTACAATGTACCAATAAAAGAATTTAATCCAAAAATAAATAAATAAAAAATAAAGTAACTTCATATCTTTTTTAACATGACTACTAGAAAATCTGAAACTGTATATGTAGTTTAGATTAAATTCCCATTGGGTAGGGCTGGTCTAGGGTGTCAGTTCCAGTTTCAAATCCCAGCTATGACACTTGCTGTCTGTGAGGAGGTGATCTTCTTCTCTAGGCACTGATTTGTTTATCAATAAAACAGGAATAGTAATTATACCTGACTTATAAGGCAATTGTGAAAAGGAACTTAGATAAGACACATAAAATATTTAGCTCAAGACCTAGACATAGTAAGTATGCAAATAGGGGACCTTATTATGACCTCCCAGCACTGGGTGGATAATTAAGAGCTGAGGGTTTCAGACCTGCCTCTAGCAACATCCAACTGAGAAAAGTATCCTCCTGGGTCCTTGATTTCTCCGTCAGAAAATTAGAAACTAATACCATGCCTCATTAGGTTGTTGTGAGGATTGATTTCTCTCAATCCACACACATTTACTGAGCATATATATATTCCCTCCCCATCCCCATACTGGGGATTGAACTCAGGACCTTGCGGTTGCCAGGCAGGCGTGGCACCACTGAGCTACATCCCTGGCCCAAACCACATATATTTTGGATCCTGGGGAAAAAGCAGTGAACAAGTCAGTTCCTGTGCTCAAGGAGTTTATATTCCACTAGAGGAGATATGCAATTTAAAAATTAGTGTTATGAGGTAATGTTAAGTAGTAATAAGAGGGCTAAAGAAAGAACAGAGTAAAGGGAGAAAGAGAAGACTAGAGAAACTCCACCAGCCTGGGGGAAGGCCTCCCTGACAGAGACTGAGAAAGAGCAAGGCAGATGGCTGCCGCCCAGGCTGCCAAGAAGGAGCAGCCCATACATAGCTGGAGAGCCAGGGCAAGGGCAGCAGGGGAGGTGTGGCCAGACCCCAGAAGCACTGGGGCCCTGAGGAGGGAGGAATGTGGATCTCATTCTAGAGGGAGAGAAGAGTTGCTGGAGAGTTTTAAGCATGTTTTAAAGGAACCCCTCAGACAGAGTTGTTCCATAATTTCCTGGAGAGATATAAAAGAAACATGTGCCTCTGCATTGACAGGGCACTAAGAGTCCAAATAATGATGCAGACAAATATAGCTTGGTAAGTAAAGGAGCTTTTCAGGGGTTATTCACAAGGTGAGGGTAACTTGTGGGCTGCAGCACTACTGCAGTCATCAACATCTCTTTGCTAAGCTACAGTTCATATATAGCTCAAAGGTAAACAGCAAAAAGCAGAAGCAAAAGATGAGAGTCTTGGGAAAAGCTGTGTACTCCATCCCATCCCACCCTTATCAGGTGCTCTGCTGCTCTCAACAAGCACTGTCAAGCCCCAGTACTGGATGACCCTGTGATGCTGCAGGCTGGCACACAGCCTCAGCATCTGGTGAGGTCCTGCTGGACAGCTAAAGTGGCCCTCTACAAAACAGTTACTTTGGTTAGGGTGTGGAGGACTGATCATCATTCTGAGCCTGGCACAGGATGAATGTGGGATCCAGGGATGGCAGACCAATGAGAGGGCCCATGGCACCCTGCAGGCATGAAATCGCTACACAAAGGCGGGCAAGAGGAAGTGGGTCAGAAGTACCTCCATGGTTCTGCAGAGAAACACAGCGCTTGTACAGTGCTTAGAATCAGCCTTGAAGTCACCCCAGAGCCAGTATACTCCTGCTACCAGTAAAGCCCAAAAGGAGGAAACAGTCATGACAAAATGAGGCACCAACTCTGCTCTACCTGAGCAATCCATTGGTCAGTCCAGCAGCAACACTGGCTGGAGAAAAAACAATTTTTTAGATTTATAATTTTAAAAAACTGCTCAAATAATATTGTCTATCATTGTAGGAAATGGCAATTATAAAATCATAGAAAGTGAAAATAAATAAAAAGAAGAAAAAGGCCGGAGATTTAGCTCAGTGGTTCCACTGCCTGCCTTGCAAGTGCAAGGACCGGAGTTCGATCCCCGGTACCAAAAAAAAAAAAAAAGAAGAAGAAGAAAAATTAAATTACAAATACCTGGAATCTACAACTAAAAACTATAGTAAGTAATATGCTTGGCTCATAGATCCAGATATTTATGAATATGTAAACATCAAATCTAGGCCTTGTCTAAATATGTATGTGTGCATGCTGTATGTACTTTTAAAAATGATGCTATTCTCCATAGCTGTGTTGTGACCTACTGCTCTTGCTAGGCAGTCATGTATACTGTGTATGCCTCCCTGGTGATTTCAAGACTAAGACTACCCTTCTGAATACCACGTGGTATTTCACAAGGGATGTGCCACCCTCTATCAGCACTTGCCTCTTGTTGGGTATACAGCCTGCTTGCAACCTGGGCAGAAAGCACAAAGAAGTGGCTCTCTCCAGCACCCCGTGTTCATGCCAGCACCCCCGTCCATTCCATGTCACTTACAGCAAACTCCTCAGGAGTCACTTTCAAGACATCGAAGACAACGGCATCGTAGCTCTTGCTGGCATAGTCGCAGCTCTGGCCCTCGAGAGAGTCTGAGCTGCTGCTGCCCTGTGGAAAATGCAGAGAGATGGCGCCGCCTGAGTGGTCTGGCCTGGGATCACTCCCATACACACACGTCCTCAGAACAGAGGATGCGAGAGGGACACAGTCACACAATGCACAGCTCCCATTGTGTAGGGCTTTACTCTGTTCCAGGCACTATGTGAAGCACTTCATATGCATGGTTACCCTATGTGTATATACTATCATTACTCCCATTTTACAGATAAGGAAATAGAGGCGTGGTACTTCTCTAAGGTAGCTCAGCTGTAAAACCAAAAGCCAGGATATGAATGTAGTTTTCTGTCTGGCTCCCCACAAAAATACTTTCAGTCACTAACCACCTGTTTCTGCCCCAGGGGTGTTGAAAGAGTTACAACACGGGGCTGGGGATGGACTCAGCAGTAGAGCACTTGCCTCCTTGCATGAGACCCTGGGTTCTATCCCCAGACAACAATAACAAAAAGAATCCTAGCACAATCCTCCCTCAGAGAGAACAGACCTCACCTCTCTGAGGCCTGAGGAGAGCTTCTGTTCCCTTATGTCTTTCAAACATGACCTTAGTTCATCTGGTTTCCTTTTTTTTCTTACTTGAACTGGTTGCAGGAAATTGTTACCCAAAATGCAAAACTGGCTCTCCAGGCCTTATTTGAGGTTTATTTCACCTGTGGTACACTGGGAACTCAGAGCCTGCTGGTTGATGAGCTGAAAGGTAACCACTGGGCTTTGGAGACTGTCGTGAAAGTTACACTTAGAAGAGTCCCTTGTATGAAGGACACACTGAGTCCTGCACATAAAGAAAGGGGCTCCCAGAAAGGTGCAAGTAAAAACTCCCCAAGTGTGGCTGATCTCATGAAATACCACACTGTGTGGATCTCAGAACGCTGCATGTGCCTTCTCTGTAATTTTATTTAATTTAATCAAACTCCACTTTGGGGAATCCATCGGGCTTACGACCCAAAAACTGTGCCCTGTTCATAAGTGATTTTATTCGTCTCAACTCATCAAGAAGGGTTTTGTGGTTTCTATTAACCTCAACATCTTGGAATAGGATTTAGAGAATATGCTTTTGTTAATTCCTCCTTAAATTCACTCTTTCCAAAATTGCTTTATCTGGAAAAATGCTGCAATCTTACTGGAAACAAGAGTATTTTAGGCCAATGAGAGAACCTACTAGTCAACAACTAAAAATGTGAAGTTAAAGAGAGAAGCAGGAATATAACCTGCCAGCTTCAGTAGGCCTGTGTCAAGGAAAGGCTTTTACAAAGGAATCTGCTATACTGAAAATCCTGAGCTGGTCTTTTTTTTTTTGCTACCAGAGAACCTTGCACTTGTGAGGCATGCAGCGGAACCACTGAGCTAAATCCCCGGCCCTGAGCTGGTCTTAAGAAGCAGTAGACCATAGTGATTAAGAGCTCTGAAGTCAGACAGACCTGGATAAAAAGCCAGCCTCACACTGCCTTCTATGTTGAACTCAGGCAAGTGACTTCATTATGGGGAGTCTCACTCATCATCTGTAATAAGGGATGTCAAATCTCACTTTCTAGCAATGTGGCACAGGTGACCTAAATGAAGCTGAAAATCCACCTGGCAGAATCCCCCTCTCAGGAGACAGATGCTGACTCAAGGCCTGGCTATTCTAAAACTGCCACAAGTGGCGTGTGCCTGTAATCCTAGCACTCTGGGAGCCTGAGGCAAGAGGATTGCCTGTTCAAGCACATCCTGGGCAACTTAGTGATTTAGCAAGATCCTGTCTCAAAAGAAACATTTTTTAAAAAGGGAACTAGGACTGTAGCTCAGTACAGAGGCCCTGGGTTTAATCCCTACTACTGTCCCCCCCCCAAAAAAAAGTGTCACAGGTGACAAGAAATTCACCCCTAGGAAAATCTGGGCCAGAATAAGTCTGAAAAGTAATAAAGACAGTTCCTGATGCTTCCAGAATCAGCATGCCTTTTCATCCTCCAGCCTTTTCTTTTCTTTTTTGGTACCAGGAATTGAACTAAGGGCCTCGCTCTTGCCAAGAAGGCACTGTACCACTGATCTACATCCCTGGTCCCTTCCATCTTCCAGTCTTAAGTGCTAACCTTGAGAAGGCAAATATTTATAAATCTTTCTCCTGCCTCCATTCACCTTCCAGGAAGCGCCTCAACTGGTTGACAGTGCTGACTTCCTCTGGGACAGTGTATGTTCTGGCTAGGGACACGAGCTCAAGAATCTGGGAGGCCTGACTTGAACCCACCTGCCTGGCCAGCTATGGGATCAAAGCAGTGTGCTCACCTCTGCATGCTTCAGGTTCCTCATCCGTGAGGGTGAAATGAGAAGACATCTGTGGCACTTGCTAACAACGTGCCTGGAATAGAGTAAGCACTAAACTATGGGCATGCCTGGGTGTGAATGTGTCATTCAGTCACTAAGTTTATTGAGTACTTAAATTATCCCTGTATTCATTCACTCATTCAACAAATATTATGGAGTGCTTACCATGTGCTGGATACACACATATATGCATACAGTGGTCCTCAGTATCTGCAAGGGATTGGTTCCAGGACCCCTCAAGAATTCCAAAATCTATAGATGCCCAAGTCTGCTGTATAAAATGGCCTAGTATTTGCACATAACCTAGGCACATCCTCCCATACATTTGAATCATCTCTTGATTATTTATAATACCTAATAAAATGTAAATATTATATAAATGATTGTTACACTGTATTATTTAAGAAAAAGTTCTGTGGATGTTCAGTACACATAAAATTTGAGTACTGCTGATTCATGGTTAGCGGATTCCAAGAATATGGAAGGCCGACTATATTCAGTATATATGTGTATGTATATACATCTATCTACACACCTACACACACACACAGAAGAAAGTAGAAAGGAATTTTATTCTAGATGGAGTATAAATTATAGACGGTTATGAGAATCTATCCCTGGGATTTCGGGTTTTATAACTTTCCTGTAATACCCCATTGTACCTGCCCGAAATGTAAACTCATTCAAGGGGATTTTTTTAGTCAAAAGTTGCCCTAAATCTTTTACTTGGTGATGATGATGATACAGTAACTTTACTTATGAACTATACTGGCCCCACACATTTTAAAAAGCACCCACAAATTTGATTTCAATATTAGAGGTCAACATGAGGAATTTTGGGACAGATTTGTAAGAAACAATCTGGCTCCTATGACTTTCTGCCCAGTTACTCTGGATTATTTCCAAAGCCTCGATTGATGGGAGCCCAGGGCCCAACACCGTCCGGCCAGTGTGTGAGAGGTGTCAGGCATTACACACTTGTCACAGAGGCACCAGGCCTCAGATGACACCCACTGGCTCCTGCAACGTCAGTTCCATTACTGAGTGTGGAGAGCAAACTCTCAAGCCCCATACAAGGGCCCTGGCCCAGGTCCCCCTCAGATCACCAGTCCTTACGGCCATTTCCTATGGAGAAAGGTAAATAAGGGCAGGGGCCAGTTGGAATGACTTCTGTCTGACTTCATTCCGGAATGTGAGACTTATTTATAATCAGCAGCGGCTTTTCCTGGGAAAGGTCTGATCCCTTCTTGCCACCAAAATGGAATGTGGCACTTGCTACAGCTAGATTGAGCAGGTATTTGTTTTTCTTTGAAGAGAACAACTTTAGAAAACACACTAATCCTTAGGGCTGACTGCCTCCCAAATCTCACGCCTAGCGTGGCCAGGGACCTTGGGAGTGCTAAGAATGGCGGCATTCAGTGGGAGCCTGTGGCCTTGCTGCGATGTCTCAGCTAGGGCCTGGGTCAGCTGAAGCCCCTGCCCAATCCTGACTGCAGCCTCCATACCTGTGGAGTGGCAGAGGTGACCAACACGCTAGCCATCAGACCATTCCTCTTGTACATAGTCTCCAGGCCGCAGGGAGCTTCAGGGCAGCCTCTGCTGGTGACATAACCTGCCTAGAGGAGTCCTGCAAGAAAAAGGAGCTCATAAAAACCAGGTCTCAGTACCAACCCCACCCTTGGGGGGAGAGCTATGCCAGACTTGGCAGTATACCCAGAAGCCCACTCAAAAGAAAGGTCATAAGCTGGTAGTCTTCATGGTAAACTTGGCCCACTGATGTAGTGCATTGGGCTTGTGCAGAGTTTTAGTCTTTCTAAAATTAACTACCAACATCTAAAAACTTGGTTTCACAAAGAATTCTGGATGTCTTACTTTCTAGTAGCACTGGGCCCATAATCCTGTGTGGTGACCATCAGCTAGGCTGAGCAGGGGCTGCCCCTTACATCGGAGCTTTTGCCACCCCCACCCCCGGCCTGTGTGACCATTTCAGCATATGCCTGGCCTTTGCAAGCACCAGAGCCTGTGACCTTTTAGGCAAAGATGGCATGAAGAAGACAAACTGATCCTCTCTTGCTCCCCTGGGCATCACACTGCCTCCTCAGTGTCAACCTGGATGACAGCTGACCCCAAATAGCGTTCGTCATCTGCCACACAACTGACATCTGCTGACTCACTTAACCCTGCCCAGTCCTGAGGTAGGCCTGATTATTGCACTCATAATACATGTGGGGAAACTGAGGCACAGAGAGGCAAGTCAGTCATGCTTTGGTTCCTTTCTTCATGCTCTCCCACCACCATCACTCAAGACTTGCATAAAGGTGGCTTCTGGGTACCACACTTGGCCCACCAAGGCAAAACCAGCTCTCCCACACCATGTCCAGCCCCCTCCAGAGTAGCCATCCCATTATAACACCCAGAGAACAGCTAGCAGCTTCAGCTTTTCAGCAGGAAGGTGGCCAGGACAGCAGGGTGGGAGGGAGTTGGAAACCAACTGCCATTATCCAGGCAAGAGATAAGGATGGTCCTTTGAGTTAAGGGGCAGAAGTGAAGTCACAGAGAAGTAGACAAACTGAGAGACAAAGGACAGAGATTCCACAGAAACTGACATGGAGTGAGGGGGAGGAGCTAGAAGGTGACAGCTTCCAGCCTGAGGCGCCACAAGGATGGTGTACCCTTCATCAAGGAAGGAACAGAGGTGGCATAGCAGATTGGTAAGTAAAGGCAATGAACTTGACTTGGACTTGAACTTGACAATAAACTTGACAAGCAGAATCTATACTGCCCAAGAGGAAAGTGGTCTTGAAGGGTAAGACTTAGACCAGAGGTGACAAGGAAAGATGGAAAGTGCCAGCCCAACCTTCACTCACTGAATCCCCAAGCCCTATCACACAGCAGTGAACGTCAGAGCAGCCAAATGGAATGCCAAGGACATCAGGCTCCTCCTTACACATCTCCAACTGACCATGGCTCCTCTAGCACCCCCAGCTGCTGTGGTATTTTCCTGTCCAACTACACCTGCCCAGGACTGTCCCGGAACCTTCCACCTTCTCTTTCTTCCCCAGAACTCAGAAGAACCAGTCTTCCCTATAAACAACCATGGAGGGGGGGTCATGTGGGAAAAGTTGACTGAATCCTAGATGATATCACTGAGTTATGCTGAGTTTCTAGGTGTGAGAACACTGCGGCAGTGAGTAGGACAAGGTCTTCATCAGTAGGCAATGCCCAGGGCAGAATTTAGAGGCAAAATGAGCTTACAGCTTACTTTCAAATGGGTTGGCAAAACATACATGATTAGAGATGAAACTAATATGACAAAGTTTATAACTTTGTCGAATGCTTGATAATTTAATAACAAAGCAAAGAGGCAAAACTAGGGTGGAAAGGCCCAAATCTTGTTTCATGAGCAAAGAGAGGGGACAGGCTAAGAGCACTCATTTCTTAATCATTTCTGTCGTAGGAGAAGCCATATTCCCTGTCACCCAAGACCGTGAATCTATGGCTGGTAAGGGTTTATGAGTAGCCACACAAAAGATTCAGAAATTTCACAAAAGAAAACATATAAATGAACAATAAGGGAAATAGCATCAGGGAGATGCAAATCAGAACCACGAAGACATGCTACTTCACACCCATTAGGATGGCTAGAATTAAAAAACAAAAACAAAGCATAAGAAGTGTTGGTGAGGATGTAGAGAAATGGAACCCTCATACATTGCTAATGGGAAGGTAAAATGATACAACCACTCTGGAAAATAATTTGGCAGTTTTTAAAAAAGTTAAAAGCTTACCATACAATCCAGCAATTCTACTCCTAGGTATCTACCTAAAACAAATGGAAACATGTATCTACTGAAAAGCATTGTGTGAATGTTTTTTTTTTTTGCATTATGTGAATGTTTACAGCATCATTATTAATAAAAGCCAAAAGTTGGAAACAATTCAAATGTCCATCAAGGGTGAACGGATAAGCAATGGGATACATGCACACAATGTAAAACTACTCAGCTGTTAAAAGAAATGAAATACGGATGCAAGCTAAAACATGATTAAACCTCAGAAACATCACACTATGGGAAAGAAGTCAGATCCAAAAGAATGTACTGTATAATTCCATTTTAGGAAATCCCCAGAAAAGCCAAGTTTATAGAGACAAAAACACACATCAGTAGGGTAGAGGCAGAACTGACTGTAGAAGCACAAGGGTGTTTTCAAAGTGATGGAAACACTCTAAAACTGGGTGGTGGTGACAGGTACATGGCTCCAGAAATTTGGATTCTATGACATCTCAACTGCAGCACAATAAAAGAAGCACCCTGATTCTGTTTCATGACGGTGTCTCAACTTGCATATTTAACATTCCTTTTGAAATGATCAAATAAATATTAAAGTACTGAAAACCTATTGTATTAGCACATGATAACAGAGAAGAGTCATAATAAGCAAGCTCCCAGGAATTTCTATGAAGAAGAAACAGGAATGAGAGGGGAGAAGCAGCCCTGGGCAGGGAAGTCTCAGAGACTTCAAAATGGGGAATCCAAAAACTGAGATAAAAGTAAACCCAGTTCCAACGCTTAAAGGCAGCACAAGCCCAGGTCATTCCCTGTGTCAAACCAGACTAACCAACCAGAACAGGCTGGGTAAACAGGACCAGCCCAGCCAGTCTGTGTCCCAGGCCAGAACAGAGCAGCTTGATGGGATGGAACCTCTTCAGTTCAGTTCAGAAGGAGGCTCAGCAACTCAACTGGGCCTAACAGTCACGTGGAAGGCTGAGTGGGAGACAGCTTCTTTCAAGGCTGGGGTGGACTTTGCTTCTGTCCCACTGTACCTGGCATTGTGTGGATCTTCCCAAGGGAAGCCCAACCTGCTCAGCCTGGGATGCACCAAAGGCTTCATCCTCCTTACCCATCTGGCCTCACCCAGCCCTTCAACACAGGTTCCCCTGCACTCTAGCCAGCAGCTGGCTCCTGCTTCCCATCAGAAGGATGCTGCCAGCCCCACCTACTCCTCCATACTCAGTAACAGCACTGGCAGTGAGCACCAACACTGGGCGAGGTACAACCTAAGTATTCTATTTCTAGCTCATTTCATCTTCATGACAGCCTCAGGAGGCAGAAACTACTTGGATTCCTCAGAAAGTGAGGAACAGAGAAGTTATGTGGCTTACTGCTAGTTGATGGAAGGATGAGGGAGTTCAAATCCTGGGTCTGGGCTCTTACTCACCTCAGCTGTGGCCTCCTGCAAGAGCCTAGGTGGGGACTGGAAAGGGGAGTGCATGAGACATGCTTCGTCCAGGCCAGGCACACGGCAAGCACTTGGTCAAGGTTATTAGTCACTACTAGTGTTAGCCTGACCCTATTTCTATTCATTTTTTCTTATTCTCCTTTCCTTAAACAAAAAAACATAGCTTTAAATGTTCAAGAAAGAACAGCATCATGCTTTGTGAAGCGGATTCCCAGCAGTGGGCTCCGGCAGGGCTCCAACACTCGAGATGCTCGACCTGCCATTGCCAACAGATACCCTTCCACCCCCGGTGTGGCCCTAGTCCACCCAGAGACATGGCAGCTGCAGTGTGTGATCTGTTATGCTTCCTATGGAAGGCCTGAGCTGGAAAGAAAGATAGGGCTTGTTTCCGATCTGACTCCTGCATGTCTCGCCACTGACAGAAACAGTGAAATTTATGGACAGCAATTCTCAGATAAGTGATATTTCACATGCTAAGAAACAACAGGATCAAGCTGAATGGAACATCCTTGCCAGGCCCAGGGAAACTCCCACCCATCCAACTTCCGTCCTGGAGCCCAGCTGAGATATAGTGCCTGTGTTCAGGTGTAGACTCCTATCAGATCTAAGCTCAGCCCAGCTCCTCCCCAAGCGCTGTGTCCCTACCTGAGGGGTGGGCCCTGAACATGGGGGACTGTGCCTCCAGGAAGACCAACTGGACCAGGGAAGCCACCTATCCTCCTGGGAACTCAGTTGGTCAGACAGGCCAAGGCACTGTGCTCTCAGGAGGAGAGGGTGGCCCTATAGGGATAGACTGGTCAGAGGGGTGAGGGTGAAGGAAAGCAGATGCACATAGAAACAGGCAACACAACAGCCAGGGCCTTGTCCTAAGTGTCACTTTCAGTGCACGGTGGTAAGAGCAGGTTTCCAAAAGACCTTGGCAAAGTCTCATTCCTAGACATGACCTTCATGCCAACCCACCAGAAACCTGACCCTGAAGATACAGTGAGTGGACTTATTGGGAAGGAAGTAGAAGCATATTGGGCATTGTTTTATTTGTTGTTTGTTTATGGACAAGGTCTCACTAAGTTGCCCAGGCTGGCCTCAAAGTTGCAATCTTCCTGCCTCAGCCTCCCAAGCATGTGGGGTTACAGGCAGGCACCACCATGTCTGTTCACTGGGCACTGTTCTAACTGCCAGTTCTTAACTGTTCTGGGCCTTAACCCATTGGGGCCCCATCTTACAGAAATGCTTTTACATGCATGAAATAAAATTACACAGGAAGCCAATGAAATTAAAATTGTTTTTATTAGCTGTTATTTTTTAAACAATTTGTAGTATAGTTATATTTCTTCATGTAAGGGAATATATAGATTTATTCTTGCTCTAAGAAGATCTATTGCTAAG